CGTGTAGTTGACCATGTGGATATTTTCCCCCACACCGCGATAGCGAGTATGTTATATCGCAGCAAACGTCATAAGCGACCATTCACGCATCATGGGAGCTCTCGGAACTCTTCTTCTCGTTGGTGACGATGATTTGACGTTATGTGTGTGAGTTTTAAATTCAACGCCTGCTATGACAACATCGCTTAAATGGACATTACCTCCCGAGGGATCATTTCAAACCTGTTGAAATGACTCGCATATCATCATGCTGTTTCCCAAACGGCCATCCTGAAATTCCAATAAAAATGGTTTTTCAATTTCCTCCTCTCCCTGTTTTCGGTTCACATTCGGGATGAACTACATTGCGCAAACCAATATGCGTTTCTCCGAGTGGGCTCGGTTGAACGAAGTGCTGCAATTATTGATCGAACACAACACAACAGCATCCTTCATCCGAAAATCATATTATAACTGGAAACTCCAGAGATACATACATGGTATAGAGTAATCTGCAGCATTTTATGTCAATCAGATACCGCAACCGTTTTCTCTCAATGAGCGAGGCCAGATGCATCGAGTGAAGCAACTCGATGAGGAAGCTGCGTGGCACTATGACCAACGTACTGGTAAACTGACTAAGTCGACCGTAAGCGGTTTTGGCAGTGTGGGAAAATATGCGTTTGATTTCCTCAACGGCGCTTAGGAGTTTTCTCACTAATTATAGAAGTTCATATACGAATTCGAGTAGAAAGTAGAGAAGTAGAAGTGAAATATTTCCCAAAATTTCATCGGAATTTCCATTTTGACACCAACGTATGTGGTTGACAATTTGCATGTTTTACCAAACTGGTTTCTGGTTTGTACGAAAATATGCACATGGTCAACTACATGTGGTGGTGAAAATATAAAAATTCTGAGAAAATTTTGGGAAATTTTGTAGACTAGGCCTTCTCGGAGAAGGGGCGGAGCTCGGCATCCGGGTTCGATTCCCATGCCTGGCGTTTTTCTGCAAAAATATGTTTTTTGCACGGAGATCTACACGGTCCGGACGGAACCCTAATTTCGTATTTTTCCTAGTATCCCCAGAGCGAGAGCTATCGAATGGTGTATAGCATGTGATCATATCCTCTCTAGATCGAGCTGGATAATTTGTTCGCACGCACGCACGCACGCACGCACAAAGTGTTAGTAAAGTGAGAGAATACGCTCCGCTCGCTTCGCTCGCTCCGCAAATACGCTCCGCTCGCTTCGCTCGCTCCGCAACTTGTAGTACAAAAATCTACAAAAATTTTCCTAAAAATTTATCTAAATTGTACACTTCCGCTGTAATTCATGTGTAGACTTTTATCATCAGTGAGGAAACTCCTGGGCTCAGCTGAGGAGAGCGAACATATATTCCCAATTAGTGATTTGATTTTTCTCTCAGGAGTCCGCAGACAGCAAGCAGAAATACAGTTGGTCGGTTGCTTCTCTTGGAGGGCCTGACCGAGTGAACGCACTCCGGTCGTTCTTCCGGACTCTTTCTGAGCAAAAACATGTGGCACTGGTGGGTGAGTTTGTGTACATCTCGAGGAGTTTTGCTACTTTGTATTTATGGAGTTTCACCCTAGTGATATGAAAAACATATTTCACGAGTACTACATATCACCGCGAATATCGCGTTTATCATCGAGTTTTTCATCACTTCACGTAAAACGGATGAAACTCCAATGTTTTAATCACTCATGGTAGTAGAATATGAAATAATGGAGTTTCACGACCGTGATATGAAAAACACTAGTGAAAAATATATTTCACGATTATTGCACATCACCGCGAATATCGCGTTTTTCACAGAGTTTTACGCCACTTGACGTAAAGCGGGTGAAACTCCAATGTTTTAATCACTCATGGTAGTAGAATATGAAATAATGGAGTTTCACGACCGTGATATGAAAAACACTAGTGAAAAATATATTTCACGATTATTGCACATCACCGCGAATATCGCGTTTTTCACAGAGTTTTACGCCACTTGACGTAAAGCGGGTGAAACTCCAATGTTTTAATCACTCATGGTAGTAGAATATGAAATAATGGAGTTTCACGAG